CCTGGGCACACACTGGCTCATGTTTAACTGGCCATCCACCAGCACCCCCAGGGCCTTTCCTGCTGGGCAGTTTCCAGCCCCTCTCCCCCCAGCCTGGAGCCTTACCTGGGGCTGTTGTGACCCAAGGGCAGGCCCCGGCCCTTGTCCTTGTTCAACCCCCTCCAGCTGAGCTCAGCCCATGGACCCAGCCTGCCCAGAGCCCTCAGCAGAGCCCCTGACCCTCAAACAGATCAACATTCCCACTCCATTTGGTGTCATCTGCAAACTCACTGAGGGTGCCTCGATCCCCTCATCCAGATCTTTGATTGAGATGTTAACCAAGACTGGCCCCAAACTGAGCCCTGGGGAACACCCCTTGTGACCTGCCACCAACTGGATTTAACACCATGACTGAATGTGGTTACCTGAGCTCAACAGGGTCAAATACTAGCTTGACATCATTTATGATGCTTGGCAAATACTTTAAGGCTGCACCCTGCAAGGAAAAGAAACAAGGACATGAAACACATGGAAACTGAGTTAGGAGTCAGTTGGCTTTAAAAGTGTATAAAGCCTCAACAACAATGCCCAGAGCTCACACAGCAAATCCAGTTCTTGTCAAGAGCAAATATGAGGACACCTGTAGAGAACTGGCTTATGATCAAATTTATGCATCCAAAGAGCCTCCAGCAACCACACATCTGCAGTGCAGAGCGGAAGAGGTGAAGGAGGAAGGATTCGTAGCCAAGTCCTTCAGCTTCTGCAAACATCCTGCAGTTCCAGGGATTAAGCTCCCTATAGCCTGACATGAAAAGCACTAGTCAGGTAAATGGACTCAGTGTTCTGCATACTTCAGCATGTCCACGTACACAGCAGGAGGTTATCTGGGCAGCAGCATGGCTTTCATAGATGTAGCACCCAGACAAGTAGGTGCAACAGCAACTAAAGGTCTCTGTGATGTCCTGTGGCTGCTGCCAGCAGGTATTCTGACTGCACAAGAATCAAAGTTGGGCATTAAATCACCCAAATGCTAATTAAAAGTTTACAGTCAGTCTTTCCTCCAAACAGAGAACAGCAGGTTGGGTAGGAGGACTGAAATAAAGCAAGCAATCTGAAGGCCTAATTGCCTCCAGCAATTCAGCAGCCACACTGCATGGCTGCTCTGCTCCTCCTCAGAACATAAAGAGAAGGTTCCTAATCCAGTTGACAGCAGATAAACAAGCAAATATAAAATCAAAGATCCCTATAGGATCCGTTTGTTTTTTCATTGCTTTCATCCCCAGCACCACAGTGACTCCTGCAGTAGTTCAGCATTTCCAGCCCCACCACCCTCGAGTTTGGTGTCACTGGTTGAAGTGTCTTCCACTTTGCAGCAGGTTACATCTTTGTGGGTTGTTAGCTCTCATCCTAGCATGTGCTGAAGGGTTTTCAGCAAAGCCACAGCTCTCATCTTTATTTCATAAACACTGAGGCTTAAATATTCCTTTCCTGCCACACACAGTTCAGTAGAACAGACACTGAGAGGTGGTGTGACTCATCTGAGCGGGTTTTACGTGCCTCTAAGCTTGTCCCTTTTTCTGCCCACCCCTCAGCTGATCGAACCAGTTGATCAAATAAAAGATATTACCTCTCCCTGCAGATTCTGCATACCTTAATCTTGACAGCCTCCTCTAGAGGCCTGTCCATGAGGACGTTGAAGGAGAGGAACAGCCTGCGGATGGCATCGTTAAACTCATCCCCGTCTTCGCTCTTCCCATAAAACCTACAAAGAACAGAAAAAGCTACTTAAACACATAAATCTGGGCTCACAGTGTCATAGTGAGTGAAATACATTTTTGTTTTTTTACTGTGGAACAACATCTTAATGCAATCTCCTTCTGCAAAGACACGAGTGTAGAAATGGCATCCAGGATTCTGCAGTAATTGCCTGCTGAAACCTGTTGCAAGGGAAAAGCTGCACTTTTTTAACTGCTACTGCATCCAGTTCTGCTTGGGATCCCCAGGATCAAGTAGCTCCTTCTGTATTAAATAAAATACAGGGGGAAAAGAATTCCAAATGCTCACTGAAAATCTGTGAAGACATGTTCTGAAGCTGCAGTGAAAGCAGTGTCAGTGACTATATCCTAACTGGGCAATGTGCTGTCCTCACCTAACAAGTAGTTGTGAAGTGAACTTGTTTCTTAAGTTCCTTAATATAAGGAAGTAATTCCAGGTTCTAATTTTTTTAGAATAAAATAAATAATGGGTTCCTTTTCGGCACTACCACTTGGTGCTGACTAGAAGTAACTCCACTGACTTCCACAAGGAGAGCTGAGGATGGCAATGACTTTGGTCTCACCTCAGGTACAATATTCGTGACTGAACAATGAATCTGAAGAGGTACTTCAAGGCTTTCAGGGCAGCAAACAGCAATTCTGTCTTGCTGGAGTCATCAGCGTTTCCCACATAACAGTTCAGTACTTTGGTGAGTTTCCTTTGGAAATAAAACAAAAAGGAGAATAAATACAGACACAGTTAAGTCCAGCTTCCTTATTCCAGAGAGGAGCCACAGTTCAACAAGTAAGTACCAGACAGAGGTTCCTCTTCAAAGCCTATCTCCTTTTGAAATCTTTGGTTTCACAGGATGCCAGGTTTTCATAACCACCTCATGAATTATGAGAAAAGTCTACAAATTTGTCTAGAAAGTCCAGCTCCTTGATCTGCTTTTCTTTTTCCCTAAAATGAAGAGTTCAGGAAGCTACAACACCCATGAGCAGCAAAAATGGACCGACAGCTTCTCCACGTGTTCGTGTTCCCCCGTGTGAAGCACAAAGTCCTCCTGAAGCAATGCTGGCTGAGGGCTTTGAGGACTGTGTATTTGCTCCTATCTAGTCTCTGCAAATCAGAAGATCAGGATCTTCTGTGAGTGCTCCAGCAGCTAAAATTCAGGCAAAATTCTTTTCTCTGCATTAAACAACTCGGAGCACCCGATGTGGTTTGTGAGTGACAGCCAAGCCCCAAACAGCTTCTGCCACACAGCCAGCAGCCAACTCCCTGCCCTGGGGAATTCTGGCCTGTGGAGCACCCAAAGGACAGTAAATAACATCATAGTCCACTTGGCATTACAGAGCTATCCAAGGGAATGAGAAAGCTAAGATACAGTGTGCTCATTAATCAGGAAAGTTCATTTCTAATGAAGAGAATTAAGAATGAGGATTCTCCCATAGGTTACAGGGAAGGAGGGAAGGAAGTCATGTGCAAGCAGTGATTGCATGGCCAGGGAAGGGAAGAAGGAAGCAATCCAGGAAATGGGCACTCCAAAGCTTTGTGGAATTGTGTCAGCAATTGAGATTGTCAACCTTTGGGCTGACAGCCTTCAAAAGAGGCTCAGGGCTAGGAATTTATGCATATCAGTTAAAATAAGAAGAGATCTTTAGGAGGGAAAAGGAGCTTGGTTTCTGGTTTTGCTCTCTCTATTTGCCTCAGTTTTAGCCTTTTGGTTGCCTGTTTACAAGAGAGTCATGATCTTTGAAGCTGAGGGGCACCACATTAAGGATCTGGAAAGTCAAGAGGTTTGGATGTTATTCCTGGTTTCTCCACCAACTTCCTGGGTACCTCAGGCACGTGAGCCACGACTAGCTGCAGCACTTAACCAAATGCCTCATTTAAAGCACACAAAGGCAACAAGTTGACTGAAAGGACTAAATTTTCACATGTACCTGAATAATTCTGCAAATCAGCTTTTCTCTCCCTGATAAAAAAGGACTAATAATTGCAGGCTGAGTTTTTTAATCTGCTTTGGGTTCTGCAGCTAAAAATGCTACAGGGAAACCAAATTACTCCCACTGTCCATACTCCAAATGTGGAGAAATGCAGATTTCCTCTACACAAATGACAGTCTATGTGACAGAGTTTCAAGATGTAAGTGTGATCTCATGTAACCTGCACGTTTAAACCCCACGGTGACATTTGGCCCTTTCCTGAAGTCTGTGGCCTCCTCAGCCTGCCTGGTTGTAGGCAGACAGAGGAAGTGAACACTGTTCTTATCTCTGCTACCATCAACCACAACTTCACTCGTATTATTTCAGCCACGTATGGTTCTACTTCTCCTCCCTGTGACCCCATTCAAACACACTCTGTCCTACAGTTTTAGGGGTACACAGACTCTCTCAAACTTTCTGCTGCTCAAAGTGCTTTTTGGGTGGGGTGGATTGACAAGTTTGAGGAAGATATGAGCCAGACAAAACAGCTCCATGAGCAGCAATACTTATCAGACCACATTTCTTATGAATTTTTATTCCTTCATCTATTACCACAGCCCCTGTGTACTGACTTATGATATTTTCTGTTGCCTTCTGCATATACCTGTAACCATCACCCCTACCTCACCTTATCAATCTTCTATCAGCACCACCAGAGCAAAGCACCCCAAAGCTCTAAGGGAACACACAGACTGTCTGTGTTAAGCCTGTTTTCAATTGGAAATCAGATTGAAAACCATGAAGATGCTTTTACAACAAACACCCAGAGAGGACTACAGGTCAAAACAGTCTGAATCAAACAGTCTGATACAGGATTTTCTGTGATAGCAGTGTCTTCTCCTTACAGAAAAGAATCCTTACAACAGAAACTTTTTATAGGGTGTAAAGAATAATTACAGGGTTTATTTCTCTCCTGGAAACAGAAAAGAATAGGGTGGACCTATGGTCTGTGCTGCTGTAAGGGAAAAGCTGCACTTTTTACACTGCTATTGCACCAAATTCTGCTTGGGTTCCCAGAATCAAGCTGCTCCTTTCTGCACTAAACAAAAAACAAGTCAGAATGAGCATGAGGAAAGGATTCCAGACGTTCACTGTACATCACATGAGTGTAGAGTACTGAAATGATGAGCCAGGCCCTGCTCTGACTGCCAGCCTGTGAGTCTGGGGTTACCAATACTTACACATATGCCAGGGTTGCACTGAAGTGCTTGTAAATATAAGTTTCAAGTACAGGGTTGAAATGCTGGAACTTGATGTCTCCAATCAAAGAAATAATAAATACCTGCCAAAAATTCAAAAGGAAACAGATGTAGAGAGCCACACAGCCTCAAACCCAAACAGAGCTCAGTCTCTAATTGCATGTCATTTGTCTTGCTGGGTCAGGTTTTGTTTGCTTGGTTCTTCTAAAAGCATTAATGCTACAGACAGTGTTATGCATACTCTGACAGTGACTAAATACTGTAGAGTGTGACTACATCATTGCCCAGAGGGAAGGTAGGTCACAGCAACATTTGGAAAGAAAAATCTTGGAGATAAAAAGAGGCTGCTTCTCAAAGCAACAGCAGTGATACAGAAGCAGTACCACTCAGTCTTTATGTGACACTGTCATAGCACAGGTTAGATAGGCACAGAGCTGCTGAAGGCTGTTTTTCAAAGCTAAGAAATGATGCTTTCCAAGCTAGAGCTTGAGATTCTGATGATTTATAGTCACAGCAAACACTCAGTTCTGATACTACAATGACATGTATTAGAGCCAGGACATTCTGTCCCCCTATAGTCAACTCTTCCAAATAATGTCAGCTGCACACATCTCACTTTGTATTTCCTCCTGAACTGTCAGGTACCTATTCACTGATCAGTACAGAGCTTTGCTACTGCACAGCACACCAAAGGTAATGTCTTTTGCACACACACTAAGCAGCCTCTCTAAAGATGCAGAGAACTCCTCGTGAACTCTTTTACCCAGTTATTACAACCTCCTGAAAAGGTTCAGAGGAGCAGTCATCCCTGCTGCCTAAGTAGTGGGCTAGGATTTAGAGTGTAGAGGTTCTATTCCCACCACAGCTACAAATCCTTCACCATCCTGACCCTGAACACATCATTTCACTCTGTGCTCCAGAGAGATAATATGCCTCCTCTCTTCTGTAAATTGCCCTGATCCAAGAAGTCATCTGAAGTAATTGCTATAAACTATGTAAACATTTATTACTGTTTTCCCTGTGGTTACTAAATATGCACCTCAGTCCTAGCTCCTGAAAATGCCTTAAGTGTTTAAATATATTTTATTTCTCAGAGCAAAATACCAATTGCTCATCTCAAGAAAGCACCAGGAACAGACTGAAAACGTGGCTGAAAAACAAATACTCTCAATGTACAAAAGAAGACTCACTCACCAGTGCATCAAACACAAGGAAGTCGTAGGTTTCATTTTCTGACATCTCCATCATTATGTTGAAAAGTGCATCAAGGGTGTCTTGCAAAAACTAGAAGGAAAAAGAAAGAGCCAAACCAAACAGTAAAAAGGCAGGAAAAAAAGACTCCTGGACTCCTGCAGAAGAGTCTACTCTCCTGGATGACTCTCCCCCTGCTAGCCTGCCCAGCTGAACTGTAAATGCTGTCCATGAGAGAATACTGAACAAAAGACCTTGGTCCTGTATTCATTCACAGGCTTGTCATGTTCATCACACTATTCTCCCTCACTACAGCAAGGAGGATCTTTTCTTACCAGCTCTGAATGACCCTACTTTTCTGTTCTCTTGCCTTTTTATCTAGCAAGAGACCTACTGAATACACTTAATAATGCCTTCCCCACAAAGCCTACAAGTTAGGCTTTGAATGTATTGTCTATGTTGTAAAGGATACAGGGAAAAGTAAAGCCACAACTATCTCCCTGATCCTGGTACCATTTAACTTCTGTAATTCTGGTAAACTCCACTAATTGGAGCTCTTGGGGCAAAGTGTAACTTCTGCTCTCCTGTTGCTCAGCAGCTAGAACAGCTCTTCTAGCCTATAGAGATCCACTAACTGGAGCTCTTGGGGCAAAGTGTAACTTTTGCTCTCCTAGAAGTAGAACAGCTCTTCTAGCCTATAGAGAGCTGTTGGGTACAACACAATTACAACCCTTCGAGGTTAACACCAAGCACAGATGTAAGTGTTTGCATAACAAGGAGACTCAAATCTCTGTGCATACCTTTACAATTTCTCCTCCTTCCACCTCCATGAGCTTCCTCAGGTTGTGAGCTATGTTCTGAGAGTTGGAACGCCAGTTCAACAAACCTAGCAGGTCAACTAGCAAGGACAGAACATCAGCAGCAACCCTTCAAGGTTAACACCAAGCACAGATGTGTTTGCATAACAAGGAGACTCAAATCTCTGTGCATACCTTTACAATTTCTCCTCCTTCCACCTCCATGAGCTTCCTCAGGTTGTGAGCTATGTTCTGAGAGTTGGAACGCCAGTTCAACAAACCCAGCAGGTCAACTAGCAAGGACAGAACATCAGCAGTTAGAAACAGATTACAGCACCACAGCTCATTACTGGCTGCAGAACACTACACAAAAAGTACTAGAGGTTATTTTTAGCATCAGCTTACAGGGAAAAGCCACACTGATGTATAAAATATTTCCTTGAGATGGCTCTTTTGTCTTGGCAGGAGAGTTCAGTTCTGCAATGCATGGAAACCTTGGTGCAATCTGATACCACAAGGCATCTGGCAGACAATTTTGCAGGTTTCTCATTCACTCAAGAGAAGGTATCTCAAGCTAGGAATTTTATTGGAGTGTGTGACTTTTCTCAGTAAGTTTAGTGTGTTTACTTCACACTAAACTTACTTGTTTACTTAGTGTGTTGACTTCAAAGCAGCCTCTTAGAGATGGTTCTTAAAGTTGAAATTGAAACTCCTTGTATAAATGACATTATGCTGCAGAGCTGGTTATCACAGTTCTGTGATAAACATCTCAGGACCTCAAGGTTAGTTACAAACAACAGCTGAGGTTTTCAAAGGAGTCTGGCAGGTTTCACACACTTCTTCAATGTTAATGAAATATGGACATATCATCTCTGTTCTATAACTAAATTCATTTACTGCCTTCAAATCCAAGAAAACCTGTGAAACAACAGCCTTGACAAAGAATGAGACATTCAGAAACAGAAGCTACACGCAGGAGGGCAGAAAGATGGAAATGGGCTTGGCCTGCACATCAGACAGGATAAGGACAGTCAGATTCAGTGCTCATGCACATGGATGTATCCCTGGGCATTTAACTGAAGCTCAGACTGTGAGCAGAACAGCTCACACCTATCTCCCAGCAGCTACACCTCAATGGAACCACTGCTGGTGTCATCTGCTTCTTTCCCAAAGTCAGGGAGTATGTTGTACCAAGAGCCTTCCAGAGCCACTGGAAACCTCACATCATTTACCAGCACCTACTGCATTCCTTCACATACATATTTCATTCTTCACTTTGGCCACTTTGGCAGCAGGCAGAGCAGAATTAATGCAGAACAGCATCTGAAGAGTTCAGTCCTAATTGCTACATTCTCAACAGGCAAAGAAGATAATTAACCTTAAGCATGTTTGATTCTGAAAACACATACACACTGTCCCTGACAGGTGTCATTTCTATACAGGCTGACAAACATGTTCAATGTAACATAGGTGGTTTGGATAAAATATTCATCTGACATGGTCTCTAGGGGCTGCATAAACATCTTTGTAGCTCATACCAGCAACGTGATGCCAATGGTGCTGGGACTGGGCTGCCATGAACACAGGGAACAGCAAGAGGAGAGCTAAAGCACCATGCCCACACATGCTGCAATGCCAGAGAATCTGCAGGAGGAAGGTACACAGGAGGAGAGTGCCAGGCTGCTAGTGCAAGCCCTACCGTTCTGGGTGAGTTTGGTGGAGCAGATCAGAGTGGCAATCTGGAAGCTGTCTTTTGTGCTGTCTTTAGTGGGTGTGAAGTTGGCTAGATGGTGGAGATTCTTCCCTGAGGGGGTTTCCTTCTCCTCCATCTCCGTTTTGGTACAAGGAAGGGTTAAATAGCATTTGGCATCTTCCATTTTCTTGTTATCACCCTGTTGGTTGAACACAGCACAGACCAGAGTTAGCTCACACTGAGCACTCCTCATCTCACCTCTTGCAGTTCTCACCTGCAGACACACTTCAACACAGTGACAGCCAGTGAGGGATTAAACATCTTTTCATGTCTGTAGCTGTTTACTCACAGTATCAGTTTGGGTCTCTAACTTTAGGGAACAGAAGTTGCCCATACTGCAAACAAACTGAGCAATTCAAGCCACAGTTTAGGAGGGTTTCTTTCCCTGCTCTCACTTTGTAGCTTTCTACTGCAATCCATTAACTTTTTCCCCTTCCTGTGATTCAAGGCATCAGGTCTCTTCCCACCACACACTGATCCTCCAGGCCTGTTTGTTGCACACTGTCTAGGTGAACAAGCCTAGAGGAAAAATTTTCTGCACAGATACACACAAGGATGCACCAGCTTTGTGTACATGCAATCAGAATATTCATCAGTGAAAGCAGAGCTGAAGGAAACATTAAAAAAAAAATTTAAAAATTACTGTCCTGTTAGTTTACAAAAGTTACTAAAAATCTCTGCAATGATGATGTTTATGTTGCTATAAAAAAAGCCAGCTAAGAGAGTTCTTCTGATGAGTTAAAAAAGTGAAGACTGCAAATGCCCAAGCTACCTTATACACAATCAAATTGTGTTTGCCATCTTGCAGTGTTGTTCCATCTGCATTCATCAACTTCACAAAGCCCATGCCAAAAGCTCTCTCAGACTTATCCCTGGCTGCAAACAGAAAGAAAAAGTCTTTATTAGGAATTGTCTTATTTCTGCCCATGCTCTCCATAATGCAGCTCCTTTATTTAACTGCATCACACGACAGCACAGCAGAGCTCTGAGAGCACACAAGAGCAGAGCTCTCTTCCTCTCAAGGCACTTGGTATCTGCAACTGCACAGAAAAACATCCCCCTTGAAGGATCTCCCACCACACAACTTTAGCAGTTAATTGTGCTGCTAGATGGATGTATATAACCATAGAGATATTTTGGTTGGGATTTATCAAGTCTGCTTGCCAGGTATGATGTGGAAGGATGTCACTGTATCTCCCAGACACCTTAAGAGAATTTTTTTTCAGATCCTTTCAAGGGCTTACTCTCACATTATTGATCTTATTTCAGGGCTTCGAAGTTGTCTGATGAAACTTCTAGGTTTAACTTTCTCATTAGTCTTTCATTAACCTAATTAGAAATCCTCCTATAAGAAGACATCAGAAGCCAACCAGGCCTTGCACTGAATTTTTTGAAGGCCTGGAAATAAATTAAAAACAACACTGAATAGCCAAAGCAGCAATAAGCACTGACAATTGTCTTTCATGGGGGCTAACATGTTGCTCCCTATCTAACTGCAAAACAACACCAGAACCAAACCTTTTTTAAGGCTGTAAAAAGTCTGAATTATTTTTCTTTGCTCGCAAAAAAAAATCCACAACGCTGGAATTAAGTAGAAATGCCAGTGCCACAGCTTTGGTAGCAACTCAGAAATTCTCAGGGAGAGGAGGGAGAGCAGAGTACTCCAGCAGATCATCTCTGTGTCTTTCCAAGTATCTTTGTGCTACTTACACTCCTGTGACGACCGATGACGGAAAGTGAACCTCAAATGGCAACGACTGACTTCTTCTATGGCAATGGACACCTGCACGTGGCAATACAAAAGAAAAATGCAGCACCAGCAACCTCTAGCTCCAGACAATTCACAGGACATTGTGTTACTGTTTTTAAATGAGTTCTGTTTTCTACAGAAAGAAAGCAAGGCTGTGAATGATACACTCCTACCTTTACGGTTTCATACCAGCAAGGCTGCTTGACTTGATAATAAACAACAGACTTGTATTCAGAGACACCTTCATAGCCAGCACCAGGATGGATAGCTTTCTTTGGATAAAAAGACAAGGGGAGGGAGGGGAAAAGAAAATGTAAGGTCTAGAATGAAAGTAAAAAGTATCTTGGGTCAAAAACTTTCAGAGCATATAATTGTCAGTGACTCGAAGTCTGTGCTTCACAGCCAAGGGAACTCAATGCATGTTACCCCACTGAAAGTTTTACAGAATCTTTAAAGATTTGCTCACATCGCTGATTAATTTTAAAAAAATAATCAGTGAGTGTTCAAATTTGGTTACTGAGATCACCTACAATATCTCTCATTCATTATCACAGAGTTTTTGCATACAGTTGATAAATGAGATGCTCTGGACCAGAGCTCTCACCCAGCAAACACAGCAGCCTTGTGACCTCCTGCAAAGGCCATCGTACCTCTTGGAGATTTCCATCCTCATCATGCACAGACATGGTGACTTCCACGTTCTTAGGAGTCTTCTTCTTCCCTTTGTCAAACTCTCCTTGTATCAGGGTGACATAGATATCGTTTCGAACATCCCCTAAAATTCACAGTGCTTACTGAGTTGTTCTCATGCAGTTTTACAGGTTAACATTTAACAGCCTTGTGCATTACATTACCCCTATCACCTTAGCCTTCACTGATACCAGCTACTTAATACCCAGCATCACAAACTGTTCATCTCATACTATATAATACATCTTTTTAAAAGTACCATTTCCCTTTTTATAAACCTCCGTCTTCACCTAACTTTTAAAAAAAATGTCACGAGCTCTATAGGGCTAAATCCACTTTGAAGGGATTAAATATAGAAGAGTCAAACCTCTATGCAACAAATGTCTCTTGACTCAACAGAAACTTTCTCCCCAAATGCACACACACTATCATTTTTCAATTTAAGAAAGGAAGGTTAAGTTTTCACTTGACAAAGCCATAAAAGATAGGCTGGAAGTTTCAAGAAAAATGAAAACAAATTTTCTGATAGCTTTAAAATAAATCTGTTCATAGCAGAAATTCCAGATTTCAACTGGCTCCTTCACTCCATGGAAGTGTAGAGGCATATGGGACCTACCAGGAAGGATGATCTCAGGGAATCCCATTTTGCGAGCCACAGCAGTTGATCTGTCTACAAGGTGGGAAAAATCCTTTTGAACCTGTGCTAGATCACCAGGAAGCAGCTTCAGAGAGACCCAAAGACCTAAGAAAAGAAAGGTAACATTTGTTTACTGAAAAAGAAAGTATGAAAACATGAAATTTATGCTTAACAGAAAACTGTGTCTTCATGTGATCTCCATGCAACAATGGCTTCTGCAACCCAGGGTGGTTCTCACTTCCCCAGTTCTCTGTCCCTAATGCTGAATAAAATCTCACTGGGCAAGTAGATTCTCTCAAGTAAAATCCAAACTTTCAGAGATTAATCTGGTAGTGTATCTGAGTAAAAGCAAGACACACAAGGAAGAGCAGAAGAATCCTCAATAATGCAGTTTAAACTCAAAGCCATCTGGAATACACAGTCAGCCATGTTGCCTTAAGAATCTTTTATGTCCATTTTACCTTAAAAATATTACATTGCTAGCAAATAAGTCATCAGCTAGAGAAGCTCTTTTCATACAAGAAGAGCTCCTGGTTTTATCTTTCTTCCAGCTCCCAGTGTGCTGGGGTGATAACCATTACAAAGACCACATGTTTGGCTCAGGGAAGGTAGCAAACTCCAGTAAGCCTTGATCTCTGGACTTCCACAAGCCATTTATTTCCCTCTGTAAGCAAGGGGGGAACCCTTCCCTGCACGTGGCTTTTACATTAGCTTCCCTCCTGACTGCTGTACCTTGCCCTTTATGATTCACTTCCTTTGCAGCAATGACTTTGTTGAAGACAGCAGTGAGGGGCTCGTTCTCTCCAATCACATGGGAAGTGATCAGTGGGGACATGATTAGCTGTCGTTGTCTGATATACGTCTCCATGGCAATCCTGAGAAGAACAACAACAGAGACCAGGAGGCAGACAAACATCAAACGTGTGCTCTGCAAAAAGAGGGCTGGCCAACAGCTGAGCAAAGCATATACAATTCAAAGTCTCCAGTCTCCTCATCCTTGTAGTGGTGTCCACATTTGTATCTAAGCTCAGCCTCACTACAACAGAAGAAAAACGATGGGGAAAGGGGGGAAGAAAAAAGGTAGCAGACTCATATTAATCTGCAAAGGAAAAACTATCCTTCTTTGCAACCTTTCAGGCCCTGGAATGTAGCAGAAAAGAAAAAGAAAATGCCACACAATCTCCCCTGAAAATACCTTGTAATAACATGTGGCTCCACCAAACGGATTGCTGTACTTAGGACTGTAACAACAGGGCTGAGCCTACCCAAACAAGACTCATTTTAGTTACTGTCCTCTGCTGGAAAAGTGAGCCATGAGTGAGCAGGCAGAAGAGACAAGTCTAACAGCAACACAGAAATGCAAACCACGCTGGGGCTTGAGCTCCTTTCACAGAAAGAGGGAGAAATCCCTTTCCTGTTGTCCACTGACTCACCCTTACAAGGAAATGTGGAAAGTTGAGAGGCAGACAATACAGTGGGTACCACACAGGAGTGACAAGGAGGAGTTGTGTTCTCTGTGCTCAGGTGTTCCTGAAAATCTTACCCCTCAACCCCCAACAAAGTTTTGCAGGTCCCATCCCCCAGACCCCACAATACCATTTTGCAGCATGCTCTGCTCTTACCTCAGCCAATTTGGGTACCCAGCCATTTCAGCTCCATTGCCAGAACTCCCTAAACAATTCAGCCTATCATACAGACATGTAAACCAAGGGGAACAAAGGCTTCAGAGGACTGACAAAAATCTTTTCCTTCAAAGAGCTGACTGCTGCCACAAGCTAATCTATTTGTAGAGACCTTGGTATGCTGCCAGGCTCCCATACAAATCTGTCCTTCTCCAAAGGACAACTGCTTTCAATCAGCCAGATTTGTGATGAACTCTAAGTCCAGTACTTACTGCTGGAATGGAATAAAATGCTGCTTTTCCTCATCGTCCACCTTTCCATGAATGATATCAGTTATGTCCATCACTGCAACGACACAAGTTCATCACACAGTTTTGCCAAGTTGCTAAAGAACACAGACAGAGCTTTCCCCTGTCAGAATGGAAACAATTGCTTATTTTGGGCCAAAGCCACTCATGAGAGTGGCTAAAAAATGATTCTCTGCTAAAAAACAAGTGGGGCTTGGGCATTTCAAGGCAAAGAAATTACACTTAGATTTGAAATGCTGATGATTTTGCAGTTGTTCTGCACCACCACAAGTCTCTTTGTGAGAGTTCACCAGAACTGAACGTCTCATTCACCAAGGCTCTTTTAAAAACTCCAGCTTTATCCCATTAGTCATGAGGAGCAAATCCCTCTTTGAGAAAGATCTGAGCAGTCCACTGCACTGACAGCAGTGCCTCATCTCTTTAGGGGCTGACAAAACAAGAATGAACCGTAACAGTATTTCATCTTCATACACAACTGCCACTGAAAGGTCCCAAAGGGGCTGGCACTAAGAGCTTAGCAGGCCCTGCTGACACACAGCACCTATGTCCCAGTTCCCAGCCCACTGCCCCAGCCCCTGGGCCCTGCTGGTTTCTCCACTGGTGGAGTTTGTCCTACCTGCCACACCGAAGGGCCTCCGGAGTCCACAGGTATGTTTCTTCCCATCCTTCAGCTCCATGTGCCCCACCCTCACAATCTGACACACCAAGCTGACCCTCGGCCTGATCAAGTCAGAACTGCTCAAATCCTACAAGTTATTTAAAATAAAGTTTTATCAACCTGCTTTATGATTGGAAGAGAAGAAAATAAAGAGTCAGAAATTTTTGTTAGATATTTTTGTTAGCTTGTACAACACATACGAAAGGAAATCTCTCATTTTTTTTAAAGTAAAACCTGCTCTTTTCGAGGACTAAGGAGGAAAAAAAAAGAACCAAACCAAAACTACAAAACCACTGGCAATTTTCACACAGCAATTTCCAAACACCCCAGCAACAGTACTAGAAGGAGAGCAAATGATGTTAATTGCCAAAGTACTGGATCCTGATGACCAGGCAGTTAGTTTGTGCCACCTTGGCTACTTGTCAGAAGTTATTCCATTCATGTGCAGTTCTTCCATTAACATCTTGTTGCAAATAAACTCCAACAGAGAAAAGGGATCAGCAAAGCAATGAACTGAAAAACAAACAGCTATGATCTCAAGCCTAGATTTTTGGTACATTTAGGCTCTAACAGAGAAGTGTTTAGCAGGATTTTCAGAACTGCACAAATGAGCAACAGCCACTGACAGTACTACTGCAGAATAACACAACTCTGCTACTGCTTTGCACTGATCCACTAAAAAAACCAAAATCCTTTTCAGCACCATTCCTCTGAGGATGCTTATAACATCTCAAATGTCCATGGGATCACCCCAAAATGCCACATGAGACCCCTTCCTGTTGTATGGGGAGAGGGGAGAAGAGAGAAGCCAAAACTCAGATGTTTGCAGCACAGGGAAGAATTTCTAAGATGTAAATACAATAACTTACAGTAAAGACAGCTTGAAGGTTATTTAGCTTCTCAATTTCTTTAGGCATCCCATTGCTGCCCCAACGAACCAGATAATTTTCACTGCAAATAAAGGAAGAAAAAAACCTAAAGTCAACACCTGACATTGCCATTACCAGGCAAAAGATCAAAAGCTTTTTAATCTTTTAGGAATAGTTGAAAAATGATCCTGAAGTGACTCAATTCAGTGAAGGCAGGAGGCAGGCAGGATTCAGTCACTTCCCCACATAACTCTGCATGTCCACACCTGATAACTTCAGTGATGGAGACAGAGGGTGCCTGCCCTCACACTTCTCTGATAAAGTTCTTCCCATCTTCCCCTACCAGTACAGGGTGCCCAACAATTAGGTGTAAAACTGCACTGACCTGACAGCAAACATCATGTATATACACAATTTAATGGGAAGCAATTAAATCCATCAAGTGTAGTGACAACAGCAGGAAAATGAGGAACAGAAAAAGACCATCTGGGACTGTGAATAATGTGTCAGAGAAACGTCCAGCTTTAAGAAGGGGAGTGCATTGGGTTAGAACCTTGATCTCCTATCTCATCTGAAATTAAATAACCCCTTTCCAAATCACTAGTGGGCCAGCAACCAGAAGAACTGAAAAATTTACCTGCTAGATCTTCCCTTCTAACCTCTATTGGCTTCTTTTGAATGACCTTCATGATGACTAAATTCCTTACACATCTACAAAACCCCCCTACCTGATGAATTTGGAGAGATCAGGATCATAGAGGCTCATTAACAGCTCTGCATCTTCTCCAATATTGCAGACAAAGTTCTTGAAGTTTACATACAGGCTGTATGTATGTGTTGTGTTGAATATTGGCTGCCCTCGGAGGTCCAAATTCTGTTGCAGGGACTGCAAATGAGGAGAGCAGTTCCATTAAAACCAAACACAGAAAAACTTAGTTCTGCTGCCAACATAGCACTGTAGCCTTAAGAGGAATGTAAAAATACACTGGGTAAGAACCTGAAGAGGACAAAGCCAGTGACCAGAGATGTACCTTCTCTTCCTGGATCCTTTCCTCAATCCTTTTGGATGCAGTTTCGTGAGACTTGAAGAGAGAAATTGTGCTGGTTTCATCTGGGTCCAAGATGTTCCCATTGTCATCTCGTACCACCAGGTCCAAACCTAGGATCCTGAGCAGCATCCAAGTCAGAAGACAAAAGAAATGACACAATATGTAAGAAGAAAAAGGTGACTGAAGGAGCACAAAACACAGATCAAACTGTGGACTGCACTAGGCAGCCAGTGCATGTTAACTCTGCTCCTTGCAACAATCATATTGCTAGTTTTCCTGTCTCAAAATACTTACCCTCCATTTTCCCATTAATGGGAAAAATAATTGGTCAGGAAACCTGACTCTAAGATGATGTGTCCTTTGTTCTTGCTTAAAGTTTTTTTTATTTTAAAAACTCAGTATCTATATCTATCAGGCTTATGGATTATGGCTGATGGTTACTCTTTGCCATAAGCTTTCTTGTTACTGGACTTATTTGACCTGAATCAAGTCTGACAAGCAGATAAATGAGTCCTGGAGACAATCCCTGTCCTGTACAAACCAATGAAAGGTGGGGTTTCAGTGGCCCACAGACTCACATTACTCAGTCACTGACCAAGCAGTTTATTTCATCACCAGCATCCAAATCCTGGCTGCAGGTAGCCAGGCACAAATTGTGCTCTGTGGGAAGTGCCATCACGTGCCAGTGTTTCTGCAGAATTAAGACAGGTGATGGTCCCTGCCAAGTCAGAGATCACTGGCATATGAGGAACCAACTGCTACATGCCCACCTGCCAGGCTAGCCACAATGTGATGGGCACCCAAAGCTGCAATTATCCCCTGGTTCCATGTTCCCCTGGCGTGGTGCTTTGCACCATTCTGTATTAATAGCCACCCGGAGCCTTTCCTGCTATTTGGGATTCCCCCCTGCCCTCAAGACCCAGTCGAGTTTACCTGTTGCCATAGTCAATCTTTGCAGTGACTTTCTTCTTGAGCTCAGCCAGCTCATCCTTGGGAAGGGTCCCAGAGAGTATCTGTGACCTCCACTCAATCAGGCTGTATGTCATTTGTTGGACATGCCGAAACTGGGTTGTCTTGTTATCCTGCAGGAAAAAAGGGACAGTTTTTACCTACCAATAGCCTGAAAACAAATTGCTCAGCAATCCTTCTGGAACAGGCTCAGCTGAACCTATCCTACAAGTTGTATTTAACTAAAAACCTCTAAGAAACTGGCATTATATGACAATACAAGGTTAGACCCATGGAACAAACTTCCAGGACTTTGCTTTGCCAGGGTACAAGCCTTGCAAGGTTCTCCTTGCTCAGGATATTATTTCAGAAAAACCTCATGGACAAAAAATAGACTTCTGGGGTTTTCCAACACTTCAAAAGTACCGTGATGGATGTTTTGTATATAGAGGACAGAGAGATGATGTTAAATAGCCACAGTTGTGTTCCAGCAGACTGAGACAGCAATGCCAATTTCATATACAAAGGATATCAAAATATCCTTCTCCCTACCTGACACTCAGAATGTGTGACAGTTGACAAATCATTTTTATGCATGCTTCCCATTTGTTTTGCCTATTTAGATTGTAAGACTCTGAGACAAAGCTTTTAATTGCTTTTAAAAGTCTAGAGGTGATACCAAAAGATAAATAACAATGACAGATGACCAACACTAAAGCCCACAAGGGATTTCTTTCATGTTTAATTTTTTTTTTCCACATGAGCACCATGAACAACATGGTTAATTGGAATCTCTGCCCTCATTGCCAGAACACTAAGCAAATTGAATCCATGGACTCATTTTCCTGGCTGCCTGCTCTCTTATCCTGCCCCTTGATACTCTTGAAATCCATTACATTAAAAAAAAAACAAAAACAAAAGGGATAGCAACAGAAGGCAGGGATAGCTGGGACATGCAGCTATGATGTATATTCTGTTTCCAGGTTCACATTCTGCCCACATGGATTGCTGTGTCTATGTGTGATCTCCAGACAAGAGCTTCAGAGAAATCAGAGTAGCTCTGTGGAACCACAACAGTCTCTCTGGCTGGAGTCTGTCAGCAAATAAGGCTGCAGATTATCTGCTCTTCAGAGCACTCATTTGCATTTACCTTTGCACAGGACTTCATGCAATGGAGTCTTGGTTCATGCCATGCTTTTAAGCACTACCACAGCAGTAGCTGCCAAGAGGTTGTCCAAAAAATGCAATACAAAGCTCATGTGACAGGGTTCCCAGGCCCCACCCCCCAGCCTAGCCAGCTACTCGCTCCTGTTTGCTGCAGCCACTGCATTCTGACCCTTTGCTGTGAAGGCAGCATCTGTAATTACACAGCACTGACTGAACAGGACATCAAAATCTGCCTTGTGAAGAGTGCCCTCCTGCCATTTCTACTCTATCTTTAATTAATGAATATACTTCTCATGCTATTTACTGGTTCCACCCTAATAAAATCAGCCGCAGACCTATAAACCTCCTTCCTATTGCTTCAGACTCAAAGACTGATGCTGTAATTAAAAAATAGCTGTGTGGTAACCTCCTATATTTGCAGCAATATGCATAGAGATAAGTAATTAAGCCTTTAAGAGTGTCAGATAAGACATTTGTGCCACTCAAAAGGGAAGCCAGGCCTCACCCTCTCTTTGCACTGTGGAGTGAGCCAGTTACCAGGATGCCTCTTGACTTGCACTAGGTGTCAAGTGCAGCTCCTCTTCAGATGAAAGCACCACAAATCAAAGGACATTAAACTTTAATCTACTGGGACAAAGTTTATGGTTATGCAGCTCCAAAATGACTGTCAAGAGGTTTCTGCCTGCATCTCCCCCAGCAGCTCCTGGGAACTGGCCAGTGGTATATTGCTGGTATGCTCTGGCAGCAGCTGACTGCATCAAAGCTGTTAATGTTTAACTGTGAGCCCCAACTGCTCAGCACAGCAGAGAGACTCATTTCAATTATTTCCCCATTTTGCTCTCTGTGTAGAACATGAATTATATAAACTATTCTTAATTTTCCCCCTGAGCATACAAATGTAACAGGAGTTATCAACAGCCATCTGGGTGACCATGAAGGGGCTGACAGAGTCTAGATGAGTCTTTTGGTTCCTACAGAAAGATTATTAGAGAAATATTTAGTAAACAAAGAAAAAAAGTGTGTTCTTAACTGGCATAAAAATAATTGCAAAGAGAAGGCAACTTGTGCTGGCTTTCAGGGGAACACAGAGATCTCCCTGTGACAGCTGAAGCAGTTATCTCTACAGCTGTTTACATTGGCTAACTCCTATTAACCAAACGAAGGTACAAACTCTCACCCATTTTAATATTTAATTTGCAGTGGAGATAAATCCACTGGTGCAACACTTGCTGAAAAATACAGAAATTAAAGAAGTGAAATTAAATGCTACCAAAGAAAAAAAAGCCCCTATGTTTCCTTTTTCTCCTCAAATACCTCCTTCCTCCTTTTAGCTGCATTTTTTTTTCTTTTTTTTTTTTTACATACTTCAGGGGAAAATAAAATAAACTCCAACCACAACATTTTCCAAGACTATTTTAAGACTTCTATTGGTTAAGCACACGAACATGAAAAGATTTCTGCTCTTCAGAAAAATAGATTCTGAGGCTAGGATCCTAAAGATATTCAGGGAAAGAAAAAAAGCCAGGAACAAACCTCTCCTTTCACACAGTAATACCATCAGACAGCTTCTCATTAAATTAAGAGGGTGGAACAAATTCTCGTGGTTTCATGGCACACAAACAAAACGTACCTGTGGTCTGGTGAGAGCTGCAACAGGAAAGCTTGCTCTGACAATGGCTAGAGCCAACTTCAAACCATTCTCTCATCTTAATTAAAGTCTGAGAGGACATACCATGCAGGCTGAACTCACTGCTTACTGAGGAAAAATCAAGTTTGACTCTCTTTAATGTGCCTTAATAACCACCTTCAAAAGCAGGCAATTCATTGTAAACTCCAGTTGTGTTTCTTTGAACAAGAACACACCTACTTCAGCAAAACCACCACATCCACGTGTTACTTTGGCTTCTGACTTTTCTGAGGTGACTATCATATGATCAGGCTACTAAAAAGACTTAGTAGATGAGAGGTCTCTCACCACCCTACTGAAAGCTTAATAAATTACATGACTTCTGACAAGTCAAACCTCCCCCCACCACACAGAGCCCTAATCCTCTTCCCAGCCTTTCTCCACCTTGTCCATTTGAGCTGTAGGCACTCTGGGGTGAGGACCAACCATTCTGTGGAGTACCTACAACACTCCTAGAAAGACAGACTTCACACTTGCTGAAGATTCTGTTAAAACAACATCACAGTTTCTTGCCCAGCTACCTTGCCCTCCTACAGGACAGACACATGACAGGCACAGCAGGAGCCTGTTTCACTAGTGAACTGTGCCTCACACACAGCCCCAACCAGCTGACGTGGTGCTGAGTGTGACTTGTGCCAGTGGCTGTGTCTTCACACAGAACAAACACTGCAGCCTGGACTGAACCACAGTCCTGTCTCAGATCACACATCCAGTTCAGTGGGGAGCAGAATATTTTTAGCCTCTCACGGCCAATTTTACAATAATGATAGTTTTACAGTTCTGCATAACGTTCTGTTGAGTCTCAAAGTGCCCTGCAAAAAGCCCAGCCTCCTCTCTTCTGAGGTCATGTCATAAAATACCATCCACTGAAGAAAACCTACCACATATAACTTGTGCCAGATAACTGCCCACTCCCTCAGGGTAGAAGTGAGCTCTTGTCCAAGGGGTAATTCACTTGGAATCACGGTTTCATTTTGTCTAGAGTAAAAAGGAGAAAACAGAAAAAGCAAGTTATACTTGAGATCAAAACACAGCAGTAAAACACCTTTTAAATTAATATGTAAATGGAAATTTCAGAATGCTTGATGTCCACCCAATTCACTCACACACCATACCAAGGTTCTTAAGTTGTTCAATTGGTTCTCCAACATATATATGCACATTGGTTATCCATTTTTAATGCAAACATGTTTCAAGTCTCTCTCAGCCTTGGTCTTACTGGACCCACTCCAGAAACATGCTAAACAGACAGAGATTAAGTTTGGAAGAATCACCACTTGCAATGGTGACTTAGTCAGTTACTAACCAAACAAAAACCCCCAAAAAGTACTTTCTAAAGTCTCTTCCTTTACAACTGCTGTTTTTCTCTCACTACAATGATCACAGAATCAGCTCTAAGAATCAAATGAGGAGTCATTTCCTTACATGTTTTCCAAGACAGGAAGGAATCCACACTCCTGCTGGTGACTTGGCTGTGAGCAGGAGTCTGTTATGACTTGCAGGAGGCCCCAGAGGAGCTCAGTGGAGCTTGATTGACCTGCCTCAACATTAACTGGTTTAGCAGAGCTTTCTTACTATTACAAACATCTACAATTGTTTTGCTATGCACAATGCTCTGGGAAAAAAAAGGTTATGTAGCTCTAACAGTCCAGCACAGGTGCTGCTCCCTGCTGCACACACAGACCAGCAGCATTTATTACAACCACCACTGCTTAAGCTGGCTTTTTGTTGGTTGTTTTTTGTTTTGTTTTGTTTTTTAAATGAAACAGCATTCCATTTTTTTTTGGCTACTGAAAGTACATCTCAGGAAGTGCCAACGTACCCCCGGTCCTTCACGATCGCCTCTTTTAAATGGATGTATGTTTCTGGGAAAATGCCCTAAGAACAAACACAGAAATAAAATAAATCATACCACAGGATACAACATGACAAAAGTTCCTTCAGCAGAAAGCAGGGAAAGGGGTAAGGGCACCACCAGCAGAACAGCAACTGGGACTGATGCTCACTGTTCACCCAGAGCAGGACTGGGTTGGGTCCACCAGTATCACAGGAAAACAAGCAGTGAGGAGCAGCAGGTTGGCAGTGTGAGCACTGTATTTGACACTGGCACCTCAGAGAAGCCAACTGTTCCACTGTCATGCCACTCAGCATCCTGTATGACACGTTGCAAACTCTTGCAAATCTATCAGTCATGCTCATTTGCCTTTGCTACAAAATATTCTGGGAGTCATTTGTCAAGCTGCCCCACCCATGGTTCTCTAGAAAAGCTCACAGGACAGAATTTCTACAAATTCACCAGTCCCAACTTCCTTTTATTTAAGCAAAACCTTCTAGGACTGCTGTAATCCTTCCCTATTTTCCTTTTGTTCCCCTTTACACCTGGAAAATGGAGACTGTGAAGGATGTGACCACAGGAGAGGTGCCAGGATTCCTATGGGAAAGCAGATTTCCACCCCGTTTTCAGACTGGTTTCACAAACCTCAGGAAGTTTGGCTGAGATCCATGCACACATAATTTCTGCCATATTTTCCAAGTCAAATCAAACCTCTACTCTTACCATTATATAGAACTAATGCTGGATGTGTACAGCTCCAAGATCATCATCATAAAGCAGTAAGCTTGTGTATACAGCCATGCAACAGCCCCTTTTGCTAGTTCAGACTCCACTGCATGTGCTCCCAGTGGAGAAGCCTATTAATGGTTCTGAAACATTTTGCTTAAGGGCATTTATTTCTATCACTAAGCAAAAGGACACAGTGATCAGGAGACCTGCACAGCGTTAAGCCCAGACCTACAGGCACAGCACAGCAGATGACAGCATGGGACAGGGTTTGGCAAGGTGAGGAATAAGAGTTGCTAGGAAGTGAGGTCATACCTTCTTAGACTTATTCCGGAGTGTGTACCCTCGGTACCAGCCTGCCAAGGGGAAACAAAAAGAGTTATATTTATTTTTTTCCTGTCTCCAGCAGTTCAGTACACATTGGCACGCTCACCACGTTTCTACAACATAAATCTATTGATCTTGCCCCCTGGAGATGTACTACGATGAAGACACACCTGAGGTGTCTGTAGGAGGCTTGGTTCCTAAGAGTAGAGCAGAAGGGTGTCTCTTCCTACATTGAACTGACACCCTCAGTCCTTATGTTCTTCTGTGACTCAGTCTGAAGCCTTCCCCCAAAGGAAGGCTGAAAGAGAATGTTTTATTAGACAAGGGGAAAAGAAAACATCCCTGAATAGCTTGTCCTGGTACCAATAGTTTCTCCATGTTACCTTGGCAGGAACCAGTAAAGTGTAAGATAAAAAGTGATAACAGAGATCCCAAGACTCAGGACCTTCCATCACTTTCAGATGTACATTTCTTCTCCCTTCAGCATCTGGCCTTTGACCAGTATTTTGAATTCAAGCTCACCAGAACGCAAGCATATGAGAAGAACTGTTGTCCCCAAGCAAGCTTTGCTGAGCGAGCACACAGGAGAGGAGCAGAGCTGAGGGCAGGGCACTGACCCTCCTCTACCACCACCTCTGAACCCTGTGAGACAAAGGGGGGCTCTCCCCACCCCCACCTGCCTCATTTCTCTTGGCTGTGGCTGACATTCCACTGAGTCCCTGTTCCGTGCCACAGGTGACTGTTTCCATCAGCTTCAGCCTCCTGAAGTTACTGTGCTGGAGATAACAGACTAAACATTTGGGAAGAATCTGTTGTGGTGCAGATGCTGATGGGCAGACATGGTGTTCCCTCTGCTGCTCTGGGGGAGGTAAGAACTTGCACTTTCTCACTGGCTCTTAGCTTAAACCACTGTTTCACATATCAAGGCTCCCTGGGACCCCAACTCTTAGTTAACCATGGTCCCAGAGCCCCATTTTTGGGCTCTTCTCCTCAGCTCCTGCTTGCATTGGGACTGAAAACACTGAGTCCAGCCCTCAACAGACAGGAAGGGTACAGATTATGGTCTGTAATGCACCAACCATGGCCAGAGCTATCCAGACATCACTGGGCCAAGATGATTATGCTCAGCTGACTGGCAGAGGGAGCAGCATCAAGAAGGCAAAAGGACTGAAGGGAAGACTCAGGCAAAGAAGTGAGCAGGGAAGGGTGAAATTTTGTTTCTTTGGGGTTTTGTTTTGTTTTTATTATTACTATTTTATTTTTATTTCCCCCCCATATATTTATATATTTGGCAAAGAAGGTTCCATGAAGGACCAAGGAGGCTCCTTGATCAGAAATTAGATCTTAGGGTGGTTTTTTTTTTTTTATTTAGTTGTGGCTCCTTTTTTTTCCTGTATGCATCTGTGGGTTGTGTTTGGTCTTTTCTTTTTAAGCATAGCTTTGTCCCCTTTCTCTAGCAATGAGAAGGTGAATCAGCTGGACCATATAATTCCCAATATTCCAGTAGTAAGTTAGGAGGAAAGAAAAAATCCCATTTTTTTTCCACAGCCCAAGGCTAAGATTATACATGGATCATGGACCAATGGATAAGGTACTGGATTAAGGATGAGAAGATTTAGGCTCTATTTTTATCTAAGTTTTAATTAATTGAATGGTGAAGTACAAGATTTAGAGTGCAACACAAAGCTCATGGAATTTAACCAGAATATTTTTCCAGTCATTTCAATTCCATCTGACACAGTCTCTCAGCCCTTCTATACCCACAGCTTCCTCATACTTAGAATGGCCTCTTGGCATTAACCACATTCCTGTAAAATACTTTGCAATCATTGCATAAAAGCATGTTGTATATAATTATGCAAAACTGTTTCAGCAAGCAAGTCATGCAATTTACTTTTCAGAATTCTGCTCTCAATTTTCAATATTAACCATCATTTGAAAAGGAACAAGAGCTTTGGGCAGTAGTCAATTGATTATTGTTAAGGAAAAGATTACTTCTTCTTAAAAAAAAAAATTCTTCTTAAAAAAAAACCACAAACATACAAACAGGAAAAAAAACCAACAAATTAACAGGAAAAAAAAACAACAACCAAAATGTGTCTAAAACTTCAGAGGAATAACAAGACTATTTAAGTGTTTCTCTGGACTGTTTTCCCCAAGCAGAGATGTGCTAAATGGAGGAATTCTTTTCAATTGAAGGTGACATGGCAAATTTCAGCTACTACAACAGTCAAACCAAGGTCTGATTAAGAACAGGACAGCAGGCTGAGTTTTAAAAAAGAAAAAAATAATAAAGTTTGGGGTTTGGGTTTGGTTTTATTGGGTTGGGTTGGTTTATTTAATGGAATACAGATCCTGAATTTTATCTTTCATTGAATGGATTATACACAGTATGTAAAAGGTCAGAAAATCTCCCCAAAAATATTCAAATTACAATAGTTTAGATGATGAAAAGTTATGCACAGTGATGCAATTCCAGTTCATGTGCTTAACCACAAGGTCCCCGTTCCTCTTGCACTGTGGTGTAGTGTCTCTCAGCACCAGAACACACACTGCTGGGCTGGGCTGAACTAAAGCAAGGGATTGCTTCATCTACCTACACTGGTCAGGAGAAAGAGAGAAGACTGAAACTAGGAACAGATTCAACACAAACATATTTCCATCAGCAGAAACTCACTGGAATCACAGTATGTGGGCCACAACCTGGCCACTTCCCACAGCTGGCATGAAAGAATAATATATATATATGTTGCAGATTAAAAAAAGATTCCTCTGAACAGAAATGGATCCTCCCCAGCTCACTACTCAAGGACAGATTCCCAGAGTAAATCCTGCACTGAAGCAGCCTTCAAAGCATCAGCCACAGCACGTTCCCTTCTTCTCTTGGATTTTGCAGCATATGCCCACTCTTGACAATGTTTGCAAATAGAAGCACACACTGCTTATCTTATTATCACATGGAAAAAGTCATTTTGTACCAAAATCTCATGTCCTTCTGCAATCAGAGAGCCAAAGGAAGAAAAAACTCCTTGCTTTGCAGTTTACAGGAGTGTATCATGACCAAGACACCTAAACAAACAACTCCCTGCTTTGCAAATGTGTATTTGAAAGGGAAGGTAAGTCTAAGAAAACTGGTATCCTCCAGATCTTCATGTATAATAACTACACCACGGTGTTTCAAAGGATGCTTGAAGCCCAGCTAAGACATTTCAAAAGTTATTTAAAATCAGACTCCAACTAAAAGACTGAATATGTAAATTTAGACTCTGTCTATAGTGCAAACCCCACTTACAACTGCCCCTAACCTTGGGGCCTGCCAAGGATGTGGTGTGCCACCACCTTCATTCTCCTGGATGGAAGGAAATGCTGCACACTATGGAGTTATTCAGCCCACCAGCAAACAGCTCTCAGGTTGTCCTGTACAGATGCAGGCTGCAGTGGACACTGGCCTGTTAGAAATACTGGAAAACTTCAGTCCAGCTGCTCAGCCTCTGGCTTCAGCTCTGACCACCTTCACTCCAGTGTTGTGTACTTTGTCCAGGTTGAAGCCACCATCTCCAGGCATGACAATCCTTTGAAGGAATCCTTGACACAGGCAAGCTGCAGTCCAGCACTAGGAACAACCTACCACGTTATCACTCCCTTGGCTGCTTTTGTGCACTCACCATCCAAACCTAACCAGGTAGTTATAACTGGGACTTATAAAACATCAGGCAAAGCACCTGGTTAGAGCCCAGGAAAAGAAAGTTTTGCTAAGAAAAGTGCAATACCAGAGCCTCACCCCAAACCTGCCAAACTTCCAAGGACTTCCAGTCTGGGTGACCTTGGTGGTGTGTTACAGCCCGTGGCAAAGCCACAGAACACGAGGAGTTCGGGGAGCACAGAGGCCTGCACCAAACTGCATCCATCCCTTCTGGCTTGCACTTTAGTTCACTTTACTGCTCTTTGCTTCTCACACAGCTCCCTCAGTGCCTTAGCTGTAGCAGTGTTGTGTCTCAAAGCTCTTCAGCCAGTGGAGAGTCAGATAACATTTACTGTGACCACCAAAACCCAGCACAAGCTGTGGCCTCGCTGTCAGAGAACAAACCGTGTGCTTCAGTCCCTACAGACAGAGTGGAGCCAGCCAGAACCCAGGTGCAGAACACAAAGAGCTTTCAAGTGCCACGTCTGATACACAGATAGCCTTCGGTGACCAGGCTGAGGGATGAATACCTGCTGACTTCAACCAGGAGGAAAAAGGAAGCATGTTCTAGGTGACTGACAGAGCAGGAAGCGAGCTGTGGTGCACCAGCCCCGAGAACCTTCTGGGGACTCACCAAAGCCTCTCCTGTGCATCCTGAGGTAGGGGACAGTGAGACAAAGTAGGGGACAAATCTTGCAAGATTTTCCCAGTGGCTGTTACCACTGCATGAGAGCCTCTGGACAGCCCTGAAAAACTCTGCCTTAATTCCCTAAAGAATGTTATCAATAGCCCAAGGAACATCCCCAGCCAGGAGCTGCAGGGATAACTTACACTGCCTGAAAAAAGGACTTCACAAGGCATCTCTGAGCCTTTCTTCTTGCAAAGCCAACGCCCTGCTTAAATGGAAACTTTTTCTAAATTGAGACTTGTGTATCCAGATAAGAACAGTGATTAGTGGAACAAAATGCCACTTTCATCCAGCTGGAGCTGGAAGTGTACATCATTAGCATGAGAAGAAAGAGAAAAAGCTTCTTGTGAGAACTCCAGTTCTCAATAATACAACCCACTGATATCTGGAAACAAAGCTGAAAGCTGATGTCCCAAAAGAAAGAAAAATAGATACAATAAGACCATGGGAACTTCCTCCCAAGCAGACAGAACATCAGAATTCAGAGATCTGAAGATGAATTTTGGTAAGTACAAGATGCATCCTCTTCATAAGGGAAATTTTCATCCCTGACACTCCCTCCCCTCCTTGTGTCTTTTGGCAAAAACAGTATATAAGGTTTCCTTTCCTCCTTCTTTCTCTCCCCCCAGCCAAACACTCACTACTATCTCACACAGTGGTGTAAAAACACACATCAGGAACATAATCTGCTTTGACATGTAGGAACTGCCTGGCTGCTTCCAGTGTCAAGGTCAAAGAGAAGTGGAAAGAGAACAATTGGCCAAGAACAAATTGCTAAAAACGCAGCTTGCTGTTCCCAGCAGAGATACTGAGGAGTCTTTGGACACCATGTCTTTTTCAAACTCATGCTGCTTGTGAAATGGTCAAATTTTATATTCTGGCAGGAGTATTTAAATTTTGGAGAGCCTTCCAAATGAAGCAGTGACTAGTACAGACTTTAATTAAATGGCTGTGTTCCATTCCTAATATTGAAATCTTAAGTCCAGTTTAATAAGTAGATATGAAACACACAAGTGTAATTTTCCCCTTGCTTCAAACAGGAATTTTGGTTTTTGTTTGCCTTTCTGCAAGATGTTTTACATTAAAGAATGTATTATTAAAAACTTCCTAGTAAAGTACTGGGAGAAAGAGCCTAAAAAGGCCATAGAAGCTCCAAAACTGGAGGCTAAAACATACAAGGGCTGTTTGTGATATTATGACTTAAACCAACATTACTTCTGAAACAATTAGAGCTGCTCTCTCCTTCTCCTCCAGCCACTGCCTCCACCGTCTCAGATCAAAGCACTAATTCAGGTTAAAAGCTACTTTAAAAATATTCTTACTGCTGTCCAGCTGGATCCATTCATCACATGACTCCACAGGCACTTGGCCTGGCACAAGGAGGAGCCAAGTTAAATAGGTGTGGTGTGAAAACAGCAATGAACAGCCAGAAGTGTTTCTTACCTTGACAAGCCTCGGCCAGGAACAGCACAGATATGATTGCTGCTTCTCTCTTTCATGCATTTTTAATACCTTTTAGAAGTGAAGTGCATACCACTGTGAAGAACTTGGAAGTGATCTGAAACCTACCTTCATACATCTCCAAAATGTGAACAGTGTCACCAACTTGCAAGGAGAGCTCCACGTCTTGGGCAGCATCGTAATTGTAGATTGCTAGAAAGGGGAAGAGGAGGGAGAGAGGGGTGAAAAACACAGTCATGAAAGATGTGAGGTAATCAGCCTTGGAAATCTGGTATCACAGCACCTTCTGGTATCATTCTACCCCAAAGGCAGAATGTGATTCAGAAAAAGCACTGTAAGTTACCAAACTATCCTGTGTACACAGCACACCAGAAAAGTATGTGATGTATCCACCTCCAGATTCTATCAGCAGTTCCTGCATGGATAAGAAACATTATTCTCAACAGCCAAAGTGTGTCTTCTACCTTTAAGATCATGGATCTGTGACACTATTCGAGGAAGCTGCATCTTCCCACTTTGCTGACAGGCTGCCCAGCAAAGGTCCCTGTCACCTCAGGCAGAGGTTATGGATCAATTAGGCCATTGTCGGGTTTTATTAGCATTTCACAGGACTAGCTGGAAGAGAGCACTCAAAAGCAGGGGCAAAAAGCATAAATTGGATGCCTTAAGGAAAAAAATGCTGCTGCTCTATACTAAATGCCTCAGACTATTTGCTGTTAAAGACTCTTTCTAGACAAGAACCAATCTTAGCACAAAAACTTGGGGTTCTCTGCAAATTTAATCCCTACCAAAGACAAAGCTAATCTGAATACTTATGGGATTTCCAGTGGGAATAGGATTAAGTCCAGCAGCTCACGCTTCTAAACTGCCTTTTCTCTGGAACTCTGAGGTGCAGTCACGCTGGGCAGAGCAGAAGAGCCCTCCCTAGAGCTGCTGGAGGCTTGGCAAGATGAGAAAGTTTAATTTGAATCTGCTTTTAAACCCATGCAAGCAAAAAGACAGAAAGGAGCCAGGAAAATGCTTTGCTATAGTCCAATGAACTGATGGGCTAAAGCAGAACAGGTCACTCCTGTCCCAAAATGAGATTATCTTATTCATTTATTTAAAACACCAATTTAAGATCATATTTTAAACACAGCAATGCAATCTTCACACACACCAGTGTCATATTTACATATCCAAATCTGTTTCCCTAGCAAGTGTAGTGGGGAAGTCAGCACCATAGTTATTTTTAAGAAGGCAGATAAATCATGCAAACACTTTCAGAGGGCTTTGGGAAAATTCTTCAGAGGGTTTGTATTGAAGAACGCTCTCTGGAAAATAAATAAATAAATGAAAATGGGAGCTCTTCTGTCAGGAAGTTCACATCAAATGCCTATCTTTTCCACCAAGAGGAGGTATATTGCCTCCTGGCAAGGATCCAGCACAAACACACGACCGTGGCTTACCACACCGGAAATTATCTCACATATACCAGCTTTCTTTAAAACACTGTGACTATAAATAACCCAACAGGAGGACGCAGGCGATGTGAATTCCCTGCAGCATCTAAACCAGACCCTGATCACAACCAGAGATTTATTTTCTTACGCTGCAGGGGGAGTGTTTGTTTCCAGTGGTCCCAGCTCGTGGCTGCAGATCCCTGCCGGGCGTGCGCTGGATGCTCCACGCTGTGTTCCAGAGGGTTCCAGGAACATCACTGCACTTCTGCTTCTACAGCACCAGCTGCTTCCAGTTTCCTCTCCCTCCCCGTAACAGGGTTATAAACCGAGATACTAAGAGCTGAGTAGTGATCTGGATATTCAGTTCAGACACCCAGAATAGGCCCAGAAGTAAAAATCACATCGACATTTTTACAGAAAAATCTGGATGATGTCCACAGCCAAAGACAAAGATGAACACACACAGGAGTAGGTCAGATTAACCCACCAAGAACTACCTTGTATGGACAGATGCCAAGATCATAAATCAGCAGAAGACTGGGTTAATATTATATTTGATTCCATTACAGAGAAACTGTTCTGCCTGATAGAGAAGATAATTCTGCAAAGGTTTCAGAGGTCAGCAGCGCCCACCCCAAGGGGCAGCGAGCTCCCTGCTGCAGCAAACCTGCCAAATCACTGCTGGCAAGCATGGCTGCTGCAATCCAGTACTGGGATGGGACCTCCCAAACCTCCCCAAGGCACAGTGGGAAGTGCTGTGGAGGGATTAAACAACCCAGGCTCCCTTTGGAGTCCCTGCTGGACTGCTGGCCCAGAACGTGCCACGGGGACACAAGGCAGGAGGTGTCCCTCCTCAGGCATCGAGCAGTCCATGGACATTCATAATCCTCCAGCACTGTCCTCAGGCTGAGATTGAAAGCAGAGCATCTCAGCCAGTTTCTAGCTTGGCTGATCACACCCTGGCTGCTGACCTGCCCTCCTGTGCTTACAGCTGGGCTGGTTTACCTGCTCTCCTAAAACGCTGGTGGGGATTCATGGCTGGGCTCACCAGGAGAAACAGCTGCTCCTGAGGAACACACGTGTGCTTATCTGTGTGCACAGGGATTCCTACATACAACTTGTAGATGCCTTTGGGAGAAACAGACATTATATAAATACCAGCCTCTAGTTTTTCTACAAATTGCTGTTTCAGCTTCAGACAAAAGGAGTCTGAGCAGCACCAAGTGTCTCACAGAAAGGTGGGCGGGCATCAGACAAGCCTTTCTTCTGAGAGCACAGACAATTAATTCAAAACCAAAGAGCACAACAGCCACAAGAAGAGGGAGAACTAAACACTGTAGTTCCTTTCCCCTCACCAAAAATCACCAACAGCTACAAGCCAGAACCAGACACTGCAGTTCCCTTCCCTGCTTTACCAGGAGGATTTCAGACCCCACTGGAGAGCAGTTAGAAGCTCAAGGGACACACTTCTGCCACTGCACATCAAAAAAAAACACAGGCAAGATTTCTAGTATCTTGCTTTGCTAGACTGAGTTAAGGAAGAACAGAGAACAGAGGGGGACTGTATATAAAATCTCCCAGCCCATGGTAATGTGCAAGGTTATAAGAGACAAATTGCTGGCATACTTTCCCTGGGAGCTTTACTGTTTGCAACTGATGCTTCCTGCTGCTTGAAGTCAGTCCTGTCCGAAATAGCCCATCTGCAGTTATTTTGAACTGGTTTGCCTCTTTTTCATTCTGTGTATTTAATGTGACCTCTTTCAGACCCGAAAGAAAAAGGAAGCTGCACATAAACATGATAAAAAAGAAAAATCCTCCATATAAAACCCTGACAGAGCAGCAAGAAAGGAAGAAGGGAAAAAAAAAAAAAGACTTCTTTACAGACTTTTGTCCCCAAACTGGCAGCAGTATCTGAAGTTAAGTCTTCTCCCTTAAACTTCAGTTGTGATTTTCCTTTGAAATTCACTTTAGCATGGTGATCCTGCTCCTTTTATCATCCTGAATGAAAAGCAGCACTGACATTAGCAAATTTAATCTAAATAAAGAGGCAAGAGGTGGAAAACATGATCCACAAGCAGAAGAAATTTTTGTCCCCAAACTGGCAGCAGTATCTGAAGTTAAGTCTTCTCCCTTAAACTTCAGTTGTGATTTTCCTTTGAAATTCACTTTAGCATGGTGATCCTGCTCCTTTTATCATCCTGAATGAAAAGCAGCACTGACATTAGCAAATTTAATCTAAATAAAGAGGCAAGAGGTGGAAAACATGATCCACAAGCAGAAGAAACTGGGTTTTTTTAATGACTGTCGTGTCCAAGCACAACGAGAGGCAATGTAGCATAGCATTTAATTTAAAGTCCCCCAGTCTGATCCGTGGAAAGTTGAAGAAGTGGGTTTTTTTTTCCACCAGTGCATCCAGCCTGTGGAACTCATCAGGAGGGAAGGTCAGAGGAGTCAACACTGGGGCCAGCTTGCAAAGGGGAACAGATAACTTTATGACTGATGACAGCAGGCACAGGAACGGAGGGGAAGATAAGGAGAGGCAATTTTCATGCTTCAGGGCAGAAGGTGATTCCTCACTGTGGGTCTAGAAGGAACTCCACAGGCATTGCACAACTGGGTGTGCACACAGGATGCTGGGGGCACGCTGCCCAGGGCTGAAGCATCACCCAGCAGTCATCGCCACAGGAATGGCAGCAGGGACAGCCTGGGCTTGCCAGGGCTCCAGGGCACAGCTAACGGTGAGCTGGAGCTCCTGAGGAGACACTCTGAAAATCCACAAAGCCTCAGTTTGTCCAAGAGTCCCAGGAGAAGCCCTAATTTGCAAGAGGTCTGTCAGTAAATTCTTCAGCCTGATCTAGCTCCTGGTGAAACCCGAGGGAGATCTGGTGCTTGTTTCCATGAAAGCAGTGCCAGGGGTATCCTTCAGTGCCAGGGGTATTCTTCAGTGCCAGGGGTATTCTTCAGTTCCCCCAACTCCATCTGGAAGGACAAGTGGTGGTGCAGTCAGCTCCGATGCCACATGTCTTCAAGGAGCCAGGACAGATCTGGGTAAGTTAGGGGTGCTGGTGGATGGCCAGCTAAACAAGAGCCAGTGTGTGCCCAGGGGGCCAAGAAGGCCACCAGCATCCTGGCCTGGAGCAAAACCAGTGTGTCCAGAAGGAGTAGGGAAGTGATCGTGCCCCTGGACTGGGCACTAAGGAGCCCACAGCTTGAGGACTGGGTTCAGCTTGGGGCACCACAGGGTAAGAAGGACACTGAGGGGCTGGAGCAGGTCCAGAGCTCAGTGAAGCTGGGGAGGGTCTGGGGAACATGGCTTGTGAGGAGTGGCTGAGGGACCTGTCACTCTACTCATCTGCAGCATGTTCAAAGATGAAGACAAGTATTAATTCTAGACCTGTTTTAGCCACAAGACTGTAGGCATTTTCAAGACTGTTCTAAAAAGGCAGCTCAGCTAAAACGCCTGAAACTGAAGTGAATGAGGCAGAAACTGTCAGATCCTACCCTGCATGTGATTCAAAGCAGCAGGAAATGGAATCCTTCCTCCAGTAACTTGTTTCAATGCATCTGAAACGTGGATTATTGGCCTGAGAAAGTCACTGTAAGACCCACTATCTGTGATGGCTCAGAATTACCACCCCTCCACCCATGGCAACACGACAACCGCTTCCAAATACCACCTCCCACTGTTCTGAAGTCTGCCCTCACCACTATCTGATAGGAGAGGGCTGTGCCTTGCCTCCTCGGAACAAAGGATCACATTCAGTGCTGTTCCAATAACCAGACTTCATCTCATTCCATCTTTCAACTGGAGAGTCACCAACTGTTGTAAGGAGAGGGAAGTATGTGCTGTGATGCTACGAGAGCCCCGCGCTCAGCACCGGCCTCGCCAGCAGCCAGCCCCCTCTGCAGCAGCCTGGTATGCTCCCTGCTGCCAAGATGGAACCAAAAAAACAGTGCCTTTATTTAAAAAATAAGGAACTGCCCAAGGAATTAATTCTTAATAGGAACAAAGGCTTTTTGATGTTTGAGCAAAAAACGTTCTTGTAACTTCCCAGGAATTTGTGT